GCAGTGTCTGGGGCCGTGCGACGTCTACTACAGCTGCCATGTAAAGGAGCGCAAATTCGGTGTTGGATTTGTGGTGGGAGAGAGACTCCGTCGCCGAGTACTGTCATTCACCCCGGTGGACGAGCGTCTAGCCACAATCTTTGCCTTGCCCCGTCCAACGCATTTCTTGGATGGCGGTGATGTCAGCTTTTGTCCTTACGAGGACATCAACCAGCCGGGCAGAGGCACCTTCCCCATTAAGGGTCCGGACATTCCAGGTGCATGCCCTCAAATCGTAGTCCTTTAAACGTTTGCCGTGGTCGTCATCATAAGGGGGGGTCTCATCCGAGGCTTTACCTTGCTTCTTCACTGGAAGTGGTTTTTACGTGGCCGGTCCCAAGCCCAGCGCACAACCCATTGCTGGGACAAGAAAGAAATATTGCTTCATTTAAAAATTGTAAATTTAGATAATTTTAGTGCGCTGCTTAGTAGTTCTTTTTGGTCCCCCGAATTCGAATATAGGCCCAAAAAAGGAAATAACTTAGCTAATATTCCCCGTCATAACACTGAATCAAAAAACTAATTATTAAATGTGCTTTAAGTATTTATTACCTAAACTTAAGAGGCTTAAATACTAAATTAACGAACTTATACCTTAAAGGCCTTGAATGTAATTATAATATTCTTTCTTTTACTGAAACTTGGCTAAAATCTCGCATTTTCAATTCAGAGATTCCTCCAAATAATTATCGTATCTATAGGCAAGATAGGGAGGACAGAATTCGCTGTAGACTCTTCAATACCGTCTTCCACACATTGATTCAGTAGAATTTAAATGCATTCGTGTACAGGCTGGGAAAGGGTCTATTTACTTAGCTCTATGCTATATTCTTTCCCGATCTGACACATTGGTGTATTCACGACTCATCTCTTTACTGAAATCAGTTAATTTACTGACTAAACCCTCTGATTCAATGATTGTGTTGGGTGATTTTAATTTACCAAGCATTTCATGGAACATCATTGACAACGATATCGTACCTTTCGCGTCTAGTGCGTGCAAAAACGTATTTTTAGAGGAGATGGCTGAACTCTGCCTAACTCAGGGTTATGTACTTCGCAATAAGTTTGGTAAAGTATGAGATCTTGTTTATGTTGATGATGCATCTAAATCCGTTGTAAATAAGCGTGATCCACTAGTTTTGCCCGAAGATGTCTACCACCCTGCTTTGGAGGTATCTTACGAAGTTGTAAGTGATGGTCAAAATTGCAGTATCCAAGCATACGAACCAAATATTCGCTTTGATTTTTCAAAAGCCAACTTTAAAAAGCTTAACAAAGAACTGTCTAAATCAGTGTTGCCACAAAAAATTTCCAAATTCCTCAAAAAAAGACGAAAAATCTTCAAAATCCGAACAAATTACTCAAAATTTTCTTATTACAGATATGAGTATGGTGTGCTGCATACTATTTACAGGTACTTAGTATAAAAATTAATTACATTCTCCAATTAAATTGGTATATTTGTTCTTGCGGTTTAAAAAAAGTATCACCGTTATTTCTTATGCCTTGGTTTGTATATAATATTGCTGCAACTATATCAGTGCTCAATCTGGTCCTCAAGTCAGTCCTACACATTTTTAAACTACTAAATATACGTTCTACTGAAGCATTATAAAAGGGCTATATTAGCAATGCAGATATAATTTTTTTTTAATTGGGAAACTTATATGAACCTGAAGAATCTTTTAATTCAAAAACTTTTTTCCTATAATTTTCTGGATCTAATAAAGAATCAATATGAATATCCTTATGATCCTTATGACAATGCGTGTTCTCTCCATACGTTACCTATATTTTGCAAGTTCAAAATACATAAGTTGAAAATAAAATGATGGAATGAAAAAAATTATGGATAACATTTTGAATATTTAGTAGCAAATGCAGATGTGCTTAAGAGCGAAAAAAACCACGCAAGGGACTTGACAAGCCAAGCGAAATATCCCTTTCCTTAAAGCTATTTACGTTGT